CTCCCAGTGTTCTGGACCACTCTGCCTGGATTTTGGCCAATATCATTTTAAGCCTGACTTGTAGAAGGTGAAGATCAATGTAAATAAATTCAAGGGCAAAAGTATGGGGTAGTGACATGTCCGCAAAACAAAAAATAAGACTCTACAACAGCTGTGTGGTATCAGTTTTGCTCGATGCTGCAAAGACCTGGGGCATTACGCAAGCTGACAAGAAAAGATTTGATGCATTTGATAGCAGGTGTTTAGGAGGGATCAGTAATGTCAAATGGCATCCCTATGTTGGGAACATCGAGTTTCAGGAGAGAACAAGAAAGGAGAATATTATGGACTTCCTAACAAGGGAGTGACTTTGAAGGTCTGACCACCTAGTGAGTGAGGCTGGATGGTACAAGAAGGTCTTGCGGGACAGGTTTGCTTCTCCTGGTTTCCCAGCCCATCCTGAGACTCAACAAAGGGTTGGAGAAGTCAGTAGAAATCTTCTCTAGGCTTTGACTTTTCAACCTGTTGTCAGAGCCTTGGGTCAAGGGCTTTTGCTTAACTTCTATGGCCTGGAGGATGTGGTTGGTACTCACTGACCTGGCTGGGAGAGACAGGGAGGGAAAGAGGTGAATAGGAAAGTGAAAATGAAAGATGCCTTCTTGCAAGATGCTGCTCTCCAGCAGAAGTTTTCATGTGAATCAAGGATTTCCAAATCAGGCCTCTAGGGCTTTGAAATATAAACTTAGGCTATGCAGACAAAACAGGGTTTTGCACACTCTGTAGAGCCAAAATCTACAGCAGTAAGCTCCACTGACATCAGTGAACCTTGCATAGATGTGAGTAAGAGCATACAAGTCCCCTGGTGTTCACATTTTTCTCTCAGAAACAGCCTTTGTGCATATAGCTGAAGAGCATCTCTTAGAAAAACGTAGCCCAAGGAAGATAACTTAAAACAGATGGGAGCAAGAAATAATAAAGCCAGGTCATATGGGTAGAGTGGACCTGTTTGAAGCAAGTGCAGCCAACTGTATTATGATGTAGTAATGTGTGAAAGAAGCTGTACTAATGTGTGGACTATCTGCAAGTGGAATATTTGCATGATTGAATCAAGGAAAGGAAATGTACTCCATCCAAATGGTAATAAAAACCATATTTCAAAAAGATCCATGTTGAGTTCTTATATCAAATAATGTCAAAAATATCTCAATCCAAACTAGGATTTTACCTTTTTGTTACTAATTTTTAAAACTCCTGTTTGTTTTTCAAAATGTTCTCCTTCAATCTGCGTCTGGTAGAGTCTATTAAAATATTTTTTTCATAAAAAAATCTTTTTAGACTGCAGCAAAGTAGACAGTAACTGCAATCAATCATTTAAGACAATCTGCCAAATTGTTCTGCCAGTATCACTGCTTGAGCTAGAATATTTTCCCTTAGTTTTACACACACACACACACACACACAAATAAAATAAAATAGTATAACCTTCCAAAAATAGACATGTCTAAAGTGTAATACTTCTAGTGGTGAAAAAGTTATCTCTCTGCAATATTGTATGGTGCACTTTAAAAGTCAGTGTAGGAACATGAGCAGAATGCATTATAAAACTCATTTAAAACCAACGATACTTACCTCAAGCTATTTTCAGTTGAAATGTTTTCTTTAGCATTCAATAAGAGCAAGTGAAAATATTTACTCAGGCAGCTAACTGGCCTATCAACCATCCAACGTTCGGAAGATCTCATGACAGAGCAAACACTCACATGAGTGCAAGGGGAAAGACCGACTGCCTTTAGCAAGACAGCAGCATGCCAGGGCTCTGCAGAATGAGACCTGGGTAAGAGCAATGACATTTAGAAAATTACTATAGAAAACTGATAAGGGCATGATCCTTTTTTATGCTGAAGATCATGTATAATGCCTGTGTGCTGTGCCTCAGTACCTATTCATAAATATAGAACGGAAGCTCGTGGCAAGATGCTGACAGATGCCACAGAGCAAGCAATAACCCCCCTGCCCCAGGCACCCTCTTGTTCAGGCAGCTGGTTTGTACCTTGCGGCCTGGCACGGCGATGATATGGCTGATCATCCGTCCTGCCTAGCTCAGAAGGTGACGTAGCATTGGTGTTGGCCAGAAAGTTGGATGAAGAGATGATTTTTGAACGGCGTGGTTAACTCTTACTGTGTTAGGGCTGGGCACCGACCAAAACAAAAGCCACCCTTGTTCAGATAGTGTATGAGCCTATTCCACGTGTAGATATATGTGTGCATGTACATATAAATACATCTGGATAGAGATAAAGAGATGGTGTACATTGGCTAAAAAGTGTTTTAAATAAATTTATAAAGCAGGTTTTGATATCTAAAGAGAATTACTATTAAAATGTATCTTCTATGTGTGTCTAGCAAGGACCCACACCTGAAACAGGAAGAACCAAGAGAGGCTTTTTCCTTACGTACTAAGAACTGATCCTGGCCTGTTAAGGTCATTTGGGGCCTTTTCCACCAAAGTCCATGGGATGGATTTTGATTTGTGATTGTAGCTTATAGATGATTTCCTAAATAGCCCTTCCTTAGAAAAGATGAGGACAAACCATTTACCTAGAAGGTTTATCTGGATCTTCTGTCTTTTAGTCAGGATTAAGGTTTCCCTCTCAATTCTAGTAGTCATAAGGCCAAATCATAGTGCTAGTAGGGGGTGACATCAAGATCTGGGTGTATTTCTGATTATGTGCCAGGGTGTAGTATGCCAGTAAAAAGATAAATAATGCTTGTTTGCAGCTTTGCTGTTTTAGCATGTTCATCATGTAATTTAATATTATCCTGTTTTAATATTATTATAAATAGACTGTAAGTGTGGAAGTGCTGTGCAATTGTCTCATGACATAGCCTTTATTTTTCCTGACTACTCTTCTCCGCCAAAGATTCTTATAAGGGCAAGAGCACCTCTGGGAGGAAAAAAAAAAAAAAAAAAAAGAAAAAAAGAAAAAAAGAAAAAAAAAAAGAGTCAGTGCAAAAGCATAGATGATAGCAGCTCTTTGTGGGAAACATCTCTGATTACATAGCATTTCTTACAGATATAATGCACTATTTTGTTTAGGTTTTTCTGGTATTCCAGATCACAGGATGAACATGGCATAGAAGTTAAGTGCTGGATTTTCAAGTGAAGGTGTAATCCTGTAGGTGAGGAAGTCTGAGCATCTTGGCCACAGCCAGCTGTTTCCCAGCCTCTAACTCGGAATGACTCTCTACGGAGTCTTCTGTTACCAGGTCAGAGTGCTGCTCAAATCAATGACTGGCCTCATTCAGAGCAAAACATTTCTGTGGCAAAAGGTTTTACTGTGGCAAAAAGACCTTTAGAAGAGGTGTGTGGGTCTCCTCCATGCTTCAGAGTTCATGAACTTGGCAGAAATCATAGCAGGAAAAGACTAGAGCTAGATTATAACTTCTGGCTAAAGGCTGTATTTTTTTTGGTCAGAATAACACTGTTTTGTCCAAACAAAAAATCTTCCATGGGGACATGACAATTTTGATTAACTTTTCAAAAAAAATTACAGGAAACTTAAAATATATCTTTCCTCTATTGTGACAGGAAGAGGGGGAAAAAGAAACAGTCTAGAAAAAAACATTCAGCTATATTCAAAAGGGGATGTCTCAGGTGATGGGCAACAGCATTTTTTACTGGAATTTCTATACATGTTCTTTCAGGTCTTCTTGACAGTGGAAACAGGGTCTGAAATGTCAGAATTTTCCATAGGATAGAAACTCAAAGGTTTAATCTGGTCCTAGGACAGAAATAAAAATAGCAAGTTGTGAGAAAGCAGAATGTAAACACTTAGAAAGGAAAAATCAAGGAAATTCAGACCTCTACCAATTTCTAGGTGCAGGGGGAGAGCATGACAGGTCTCATTCAAGTGTGCACCTCCCAGAAGATGTCACCTTTCATTCTTGCACTTACAAACCCTGCTGCTGGCTCAGAAAAACCATAGTGACTCTGAGCTATCACGGCATTGCGGGGAGCATCAACGGGCATCAGTCCCACAGGATTTATGGAAGGGGAAAAAACTGAAATTGTCAGTCTTCACACACAATGTACTTGGGTAAAATAAGAGCTGTTCGTTGTAGCTGATGGCATTTTGATGGTAAAGAAACAGCAGTGGGTATATAAGTCATCCAAACAATACCTGGCTGAGTATCAAAGGCAGGTGAGGAGGGGACAGGAAAGGCGAGGTTGGCAACATGAGACACAAACTTTTGAAGTCTGAACACGGGAGTTTCCTTTGTTCCCAAGAAAAATCTGGCTGATCTCTACAGCTCCTGCAAATTTCAGTAGGTGGATTCACAGATTCCCTGCCCCAGGGTAAGTTTTGTACAAGGTGATCGGGAGAAAAAGTGTGGTTATTCCTTCACACTGGAGGTTACGTTTCTCAGCCTTTCTCATTTGTCCAACCCTTAGAGCCTGTTCTGGAGGATTACATGGTTTGGGCCTAAAATTCATCTTAAATATATACATACTGGTGTTTGGCACAGGGGTTGGTCTGCTCCTTATGTAATGAAGGGAGTTTCACCACGTCCTTCAGGCCATACGCCAAGCTCTGCTGAAAATCCTACGCTGCTAATACAACATCCTGTGGCAGGTGGTATTTTATTTATTTATTTATTTTCATTTGATTGCTCTCAGCTATGTCTTATGTTCATTCAGAAAGATTGGATGAGGGGGATGCTGGAGAGGGAGGGCAAAATCAATGCTTCCCTGCAAAAACTTCAGGTCAGTGGGAGCCGAAAGTGCTCTGGACACAAAACCTGGGGAGGAGTGGGGAGCTGTGGGCTGTGACAAGGGGATGTAAGACATGGCAAACAGCCAGTGCTCAGAGGGGATGGAAAGAACTTCCCAGGCAGCAGAGGTACTGGCCAGCACCTGGCCCTGCTCAGAAAAGGCTCAGGTTATCTGCAACCCAACCTGACCCAAGGAAGGAGGGCAGTGAAGGAGGAAACCTGGCTATTTTTTTTTTTTTTTTTTTTTGGTCTTATTTAGTCACACAGAGTTTTCTTTGCTTGGAAGTTATTTTTTCTAGTTTGTGTTCAAACTACATATGCTGTCTTCAAGTTTGGAAGCTTTTTGGCCTTCTTTGGGACCCACTTTAGCAGCAGCTGTAGGCCTACCTCCAAACTACTGCCATTATGGGATCCTTCTTGGACCATATCACATTTAATAATTCTGTTTCTCTGTTCATGGGATTTTTGTTGCAGGCCTGATCCTCTTCACCTTCAAAGTGAAACTCAGGGGAATCCGATGTTTCCAGATCAGTCTGTACAAAACAAAACAAAAAGCTATTTTTTGGCACTAATGTCATTTTTCACTGAAACAGTGGGGGATTTTTCACCATGATGAGACTCACCATATAGAAGGGACAACTTGTATAGCACACAGCTTTGTCTCGTAAGCACACGTTTCTGCTCAGAAAAATCTTCCAGTGACAAAACTCCAGTGCTAGTTAGAAGCTTAGCTGCTCTCATTGCTGCAACCTCTGAGTGCCCAACATGACATTGTCCTCCACTTAGGACACTGCTGGTGTTCCTATTCCACAGAGAGGTGATGGGATCTAAGTCCATATTACCTTTCAGACACAGGCAGAAACCCAAACTTGTGTTCAAATTTGCATTTTAACAACACAACATGTACCTCAGCCTGTGCTCTGGTGGGAGAGAGGATTTAGAGCCTGCAGGACTCCTGAGTCTGCAGAAACCTTTCCCTGAGCCCGGCTGGATGAGCGCTTCACCACATGTAAGTGATTTGTAAAGCACAAGACTCAAAATAAAGGTTGCCTGTCCTGAGAATTCACAGTCTAAATAATTCGGCAGTTGCAAGGGGGGTGTTGTTTTTAGTGAAATCCAAGGTGGCAGCATCTTAGGAACGCGGCTCCTGTTTGTACAACAGAGCTTTTACACCAACATTTGTACGGCTCAGCTTCTCCTCTTAAGCTTTTAAGACCCCGGCCTGCTTTAGGGTGATTTAAAGGGCATCAGTGATTTTACTCACCGAGTGTCTTCTGCTGCGTTCACAAGTGCCTGGCTGTGACCTCTGGGTAAGGCAGAAGGGGCAAGAGGTTTTTATCAGCCGGGCTTTGGGCTGGGCACATAGCAAGTGGTATGAATAATGCAGGCAGCTAAAGGAGTGCCTCGAAAACTGTTCCTCCTCGTCATGCATTCTGCTTATGCCCCTTCCCTTACACAAATGGCTATTTTAGGAATGCTTAGGAGAGCTCAAAAATATTTAATTAGGACTATTTTTTTTTACCCTCCTTCTAATAAAGTAATGGGCTTTAATATGTTTGGTCTGTCACAGGCCTTCCTTCTGACCAAAAATAGCCCTCTTGGTTCATAAGAACATTACAACTTTAAATTCTGATAACTTGAGAGCTAGGAATGAGCATCGAGTATCTAAAAATGTCCCTTTTCTACAGCACTAAGAAGCGAGGGCTAAATCTGGATATGAAGCTATGGCATTTTTTACTATAAACAAATGCTGCCAGTGACTGAGTGCTTTGATCTGCTGGACCACGAGCCAGAGTAGATGTGTAGGGAAATATTCCAATGCCAAAGCACTGGGGAGTGGGGAAGAGACTTAACAGGGAGCATGCAGATTGCCAGATCAACAGATCAGTGGATGGACTGCAAATGAAGCTAGGAAGGAAAGTGTGCTTAAGTCATTTACTATAGTTCTCCTAGGAAGTGTGCTTTTCTGCATTTAAGCACTCCCTTCAAAAATGTGTATTAATATATACATAGATATATATATACAAGAAAACATGCACAATACCCTCCTGCTTGCATTGGCAATGCTGCCTCGCAAACACAACTTCTTGGAGATTTATAAATAAATATACCTGACTGTTTTATCTACTAGATCTCGGAGCCTACAGAGGAAAACCACCCTCACCAGTGCTTGCATGATTAGCACAATGGCACCCTCTGTTGCCCTGCATGCCTCCTTCTGTGGCTGCTCCCAAGTGGATATATTAACTCCTGAAATCATCCACCTTCTCCAGATCTGACCTATTCCTGCCCAGCTGCCTTGTTTGTTTGGAGTTATCCTCTGTAATTTCCCTTTGTAATAAAATCCATCTTGTTCTTTTTTTGTATTAGGTAGAGAAGGCAAACTGTGGTTTCAGTGAGCAAGAAGGATCATCGAGAGGCTCAGTCACCACTCTCATGTCATGAATAGTGGCCTCCTGTCCCCATTTTGTCCTCTCTGACACAGCCAGTGACAGCTTCTTGCAACAGTTGTATTAAACACTGAGCTCAGTCCTGCAAAACAGTGATCATTTCCAAAAGATGCTGCGTGAGATAGGGCAGGGCACTCGGCATTTCCTGGAAAGCAATTAGTCTTGATGAGATTGGGTTGCCCAACTCTCATGTCACTAATTAAATCACAACTTTTCTTTCCTTTGGTAAAACAAAAGCTTGATTCATGAATTAAAATACATAGTGAATCTGATTTTGACTCTGATCCTCTGTATGTTCGTAATTAAACAACCAGCTCCTTTTATGAATTGAAATAAAACTTCTGGGGCATGGCAAATTTTCACTCCTAATAATCGTGTTCGCTTGCATCCATGTGACTACACTTTAATTGCTCATTAATACAGACAGACTTAATGGGATGACACACAACTAGCTTCTTCTTTTTGGACTTCTGTAACAACGACTTCTTTTTGTCTGGTAAGGAAACCAGACATTTCTCAGAATCAATCAACTTTTCCTGTGCCTTACTCTCATGCCCTGCTGTAAAGAATAGTAAAATTATCTTGCTGTAATGTTATTATTAAGGACTGGTTTTACTGTGATGGCATTAGAAGAATTAGATACATACTTTCCACTCGTACTGATTTGACTATGTCTATTTTCCCCATGTGCAGCCTGAAAAAACTATTTGATGCTGTACTTAGAACTGATCACTTAGAAATGATTACTCGGAGGTCATCAACAGTTGTTAACATGAACAAATTGTCATAAAAAACATATTTTCTTCAGTGCTGGCTATTTTTCAATAAAAATGTTTAAACTGAAGAAGTCTTTTGAAATCTTGATATAAAAGGGGAGGTGAAGAGAAATTCAGGGAGAAAGAAAAAACTGACATCAGTTTACTGACATACTGACTGACATAAAAAAGTATTTGCGTACATCTTTTTGATAAATTCAAATGGTCTGTGAGTATATTTAAACAAAATGAAAACAGAGTTGGAGATCTTTGACAGAATATATGTGTTCTGTTTTACGCAGCCTCACCTACTGTGCCAATGGCTTACAGTCAGGTTTGAATTTGCATGCACATCATCAGTTTGTAGAATCTACACCACATTTGGTTGGTTTGATACCAAAAAGATTTTGTCAAGAAGTCAAACTGAATTTTATCTCAGGCTCCATGAAAACGAGCATGTTTGACAGTTGTGGGAAAGAAGGGGGTTCAAGCTGTATCTATTGTTTGTGCAGAAATATCTCATTTCAGAAGTCAAATTGCTCATAATGAATCCATGCTAATTTGTTATTTGAACCCCCTGCAGTCCCATTTTCCCCTGATAGAGCTGGATGATGGGAAAAGGTAGGAATATTGCCTAAGTTTTTTGGCATAGTGTAGCTTTCTGCTGAAACAAATTCTGATTGCTACTGATCTAGATGCATCTTTTCTTTTCTTTTAAGATTAAACCTGCAAGCCTCAGAATTCAGCACACAAGAGCAGATATTATCTGATTTTATGTTGATTTTGTTAGAAAAGCAACTCAATGTTAAAATGCCAAAGAAAAGTTTCATAGAATCATAGAATCATTAAGGTTGGATGCAAAAAACCACCATTATCACCCACTACACCATGTCCCTAAGCACCACATCCAACCTTTCCTTAAACACCCCCATGGACAGTTTCTCTGAAATGAAAACAAAACCAAAATATCAGTATTTTAAAAATAGCACATTTCAACAGGATTGAAAGTGTTCTTCCCTTCTATTTTCTTAAAAATCGATGACCAGTTTGACCAAATTTCAGTATTCTGGTGAAATACGGATCCGCTAAAGTGATCCTGACTGGCTGAGGCCAAATGTGCTATTTCTTCTGGGTTGAGGTTCCTATGAGCCTACCAAAACTGGCCCGGTTTTCCATGAGTGGGGAAATTATTCCAGTAATGTCAAAAAATGCCCACCCTAAATTTTCACTCTTATCCAGAAATCCAGGCCCATCTGGACATTAAAAGCAGGCAAAATAAGGTGTCAGGTGAGAATGTGAGTCAGAATTTAGTATATACAGCCTACTCTAGGAGTGGGTTTGGTGGTCTCCAAAGGGCAGAGGTGAAGAAGTTGGATTAGATGGAGGCAAAGCTGCATACAGCATGTGAAGAATGCATGGAAAAGATAAGTGTTTTCTACAGAACATACCAGCTGCCCACTCCTATTTCTATTAACAAGGGCAAAGGGGTCTAAGAGGGGGGAAGAGGGAAGAGTGACTTTCTATACTGTGTTGGGATAGGGGAAAGAATAGTCCTGCTTGGGGAAGCTGGATTTTCTGGGAAGGTTTGTTGCTGGAAGAGGAAGAAAAAGAAAAAGAGATGGAGGAGAAATGGGTTCAACAACAGAAAATGCTTATTCCTGGTGAAGTCACCTACATTTGTATTTTGGTAGAATATCAGCCTTCAAACAAAGAGATCCTCAATCACTTTTCCTTTCCCTCCCATTTTCCTGTACTATATGTTGCTGACTTGATGTGGCAGAAATGCCAATTTGCACTGGCTGTGAGTCTCTTCTGTGGACCCTACTGCCTAGCTCATCACTTTAATTAAAATCTGAGTAGAGAGGCCCCATGCCACTTTAAAATTCAGTGCTGGAACAAAAGGTGAAAAATCAAACTGTGCATGTGCTCATTTCCAGCTGAGGAGGGGACAAGAAGAAAAGAAAACTGTCAGCATCTCTGGAGATGTGGTCCACTTCCACACAAGACCCAGGTACGATACATCAGGAAGTCAGAACAGGCTGCAGAGTGCTTTCAGTCCTTAAAATAAAGACAGATTCATTACGGGTGACTCCTGTTTTCCCACTAGTTCACAAATATTTTGTTTAGTTACACAAATTCCCTGCAAGTGACGGGCGTGCTGGCAGGTCAGGGGACCTGCTGTTGGGTTATATCATTGTTATGAGAGTCACGCTGCTAAGGAGCTTTGAGTTGTACCCCATACTGAGAATAGTCCAAATAATCTGTGACTCAAAGCATCTCTCATCAGGGATCACTGTGAACACAGGCAATTTCAGCTGACCCGACCAGCTAAACACAAACATGTCAAGACCTCAATAGCACCAGAACATTTGTTTTAAATATCCTGAGTGTGAAATCAGGGCCAATGGGCAACATCTATTCAGTAATCATTTTGCATGCCAGATGTTTCTTTCTCTAATTTTACTGCAGAGCATATAAAAATATGTGCTGGAATTAAAATGACGATTGGGAAGAACACAATAGCCAACCTCTGGTTTATTGCAGCAGCGTAAACTGGAGTAATTTCCAGGAAGAGAGACATTACACCAGATCCACATGGGTGTGAGTTATGAATCCAACTAATTCTCTCAGGGGACCTATGTGTCTCGTGCAAACAAATAACATGATTTATGAGCCCTTTAAGTTTTGAGAGTGGTAGGGCAGGAGAGAGAGCTTAGCCAAGAGTGTCTTCCAGAGGAAAAAGCAAAGTGCACCTCAGTAGCTGAGGTATTGAGGCTAACCACAATCCTTACCAAGGTGTCACAGGCCCAGAGCAATCTGCAGTCTGCAGCAGACACCCACAGTTGTAAAACAGTAGCCAGTATGAGGCATGGGGATACAAAAAGTAGACCTGTTTGGGGCCTCTGCAAGGCTTTTAATCCATATGCCCTCCGCAGCTATACTGATGCTGTACTATGGGAATTTGTTCTTTACTATAAAACACTTTTTCATCAAGAAAATTCTCCCTCTCTCTTTCTCTTTATTTAATCATCTATTGGCAAGAATTTTCAGATGTGTGATGAACACTCAAAGCCTGAGTCAAAGATTAGAAAAGGTGGGTCCAAAGAGAGTTGTCTGGCTTGAAATGAGCTGCACTTACTGCGATCTGTGCTCACAGCAAAGGTATTCTGCAAAGAAACAGAGCTGAAGGACTGTTCCTCTTGTACCAAAGTATCAAATGACACTTTTCAGGGCATTGCTGCTGTGCTGCATTCTGTAAAGAAACTAGATCAGAAATAGAGATGACACAGCTCAAAAAGGTAACTTGTCGTTCCCTCCACACAGTCAATAGATTCAGAGCAGGAATAATGCCAGATTAAAGCAAAGCAAATACTTGCAGTACAATATTTTATTCACCAGAAAATTCCTCACCTTTTTTATAGATCATTTTGGCTGATACAGCAATTCTTTCGCTACAAAGTTTTATTTGAGTGTTTTCAGAAGCACTACTCAATATGAGCTCAGGAGGACAGGAGACTTTCTTAAAAAAAAACAAAAAAACAAAAAAACAGATACGAACAGAGAATTCCTTTTTCTGTACATTTCCTAGATCTTTGTAGATTTTTTGTCTGATATGGGAGGATAAACAGATGGATTTCTAAATGACAGAAATATCCTCAACACAAAATCTCAGACCCCAGAGCTTTGCATACAACTCCTTCCTTTTTCAGCTCATTGGCCATAACCCTTAATGCACAACCCTGAAACACTGCAGGGAATTTAGATCTGAATTTTAAATGAAAGGAAGGTCCATCTGTTGAATATAGGCTTTTATTTACCAAAAGAACCCAAACTCAAACTCGTTGTGTTGAACTTTGGCCATATATTCAACAAGATATGATTTCAAATGCAAGTAGGCATGGCTTCTTAATAAAAAAATAATAATAAAAAAAATCCATATCTTTCTACCTCTTAAACAGAATTTCTTTGTTTTTCTAGGGTTTGTCCTCTTTCCTGCTCAAAGAGCAGGCATTTAGCTGATAAATGAAAGACTTCTTCTGGGTACAGTTCATCTTGGAAACCCTCACGCTATTAACAATTCTAATTAGAGTTTGAAAGGGAATCCAAAATGTTCTAGGAATTAATTTTTTAATTCCTAGAAAATAAATTTCCTAGGCTTAAGCCTTTCAGGAGTGTTAAGTTCTTTAGACTGAGCAGGGTCTGTCCAGTTTGCCTACTTGGAGATATACATTCACACTTCACCAGAGGAAAGCCAAACTAGAATTCAGGAGGACTCAACAGAAAATCCCACACACTGAGCTATCTTTATAAATACCTAAGGCACTAATTTGTAGTTTACCCCAGAATACAAACAGGGGAATGCATTGATTTATCCATAGATGGTTATGGGAAAAATACTTTTCCACAGTTCTGATTACTTTGAGATAATATAGATTAATCCTAGCTTCTACAAAGCCGGTTTCACTGTCAGAGACTGTCAATAAAGTAGCTAAGATTAAGGGCCTTGCTCTGGATTTTAGCAGCACTTTAAAACAACAAGCATAAATGCTTCACTAATATTTAAGATGGGATTCATTGATGTGGCCATGCTATTTAATACCCATAACCCGTAACCATCTTTTAAAAAATACCCATAATAAGCTTACTAGCTGCAGAGGATCCTGTACAACCCCATAAAGAACCCTAACATGAAAACTCAATCAGAAGAAGCTAGTTTCTGTTCATTCATGGTGTTATTTCATGACGAAGATGGTCAACTATTTAAACAATCTATGTACAGCCTTTTTTATTTTTTTTTAATATATATTTTTTTAATTTGCCTTCAAGGAGTAGAGCATAAAAACTGGCACTTGGTTTGGTGTCTTTCAATATGATTGAAATATTGAGCTCCTCAATGCTCATACTTACGTCTGTTTTTACACTTTTATTGTCAGTTACAGTCATTGAAACAATGCAGGTTTTGAAAAGTGCTGTGGAAAGTAGTAGATGGCAGAGCAGCCACATCCGTAGCTTGCTGCACAAATGCAGTATCTATTATTATCTATTAATATAGTCCATTTAAACTAAACCATTGAATAAATCAATATATTATATAATAAAATGGATAATATAATTATCTATTAAATACTGCATCAAGTAAGGAATCTACATCTTTACCATATTGGTGTTACTGTTGCAGTTTGATCTTTCTGGTAAAGAAGGAGGAATTGCATCTTTCCTGAGACAAAGAGCCCACCTATATGGAGAAGCCACCATAGGAAGCTCTGTTGTTTTGGACATGGAAAGAAAAAACAGCCTGCAGTACCTGAGTCAGCAAGACTTAGCAGAGACAAGGATTGGAAACTTGCAAAAATTTTTGAGATTTTAGCCGAGAATTTCTGTGCAAATTTCTTCTTGGGTTTTAATTTCCGAGACTTTCATTCTGAAGTGCTGTGTACCTGGCTTCCAGGCAAAACAAATAAAGCCAAAGAGCTGACCAGAACTATACCCTGAAAATAATCTGTTCATGAAAGCTGTCCTGGACTATTGAATTCAGCAAGCTCTGTGATAGTAATTGTAAGATTTCACAGTTATACTAAAAACAGCTGAAAACCCTTCAGTTATGTGTTGATAGCCAACAAAAGCTCTTTGATGTAAACCACTGGATTAAAACTGTTTGCCCTCACTATTTTGTGTTGTGAATCCCAAGCACAAATACAGGCTGGGTGGAGAATGGATTGAAGGCAGTGCTGAGGAGAAGGACCTGGGGGTGTTGGTCAACGAGAAGCTCAACATGAGCCAGCAATGTGCACTTGCAGCCCAGAAAGCCAACCATGTCCTGGGCTGCATCAAAAGCAGCGCGGCAGGATGAGGGAGGGGATTGTCCCCCTCTGTTCTACTTATATTGCATTTTTTTTCTACATCATCATGCCCTCACCGAGTCCTTTTACAATTCTATCATTATATTCATTTACGCAGGTGATGCAGAGCACAGTGCAAAGTTCACGTAGCTGTCAAAATCCTGACTCTGGTATTTACTGACTTTCATGCTTCTTCTAGACAATGCTACAATTACCTTAATGTCATTTTTGTCACTTAATACTGTTGCTAACCCTCATAATTGTTAAGGGACTGCACAGTGCAATTTAGCATAATTAAGACAATTATAGTTAAGCACCATGCACCAACAGTTGGTAGCCAAAGCTTTTGCCCAGTGTAAGGAAAACCAAAGGCTCCATCTACTGCAGTACAGTCCTCAGGCACCCCCAAGATTTTGGTTGGAGGTTATCAGAAAGGTGCTCATGGGGAAGACTCCTGCTTTGTCAGGGTACAGCAGATCTTCTTTTTGCCAAGTGGATGCTGTTGTTGAAGGAAGAGCAGGAATTGAGCCTATTTCCATCACCCCATTGGTAAGCACTTGAGAACTTGACCTCCAAGGCTGTTATCTGAACCGGGCTTGAGATTTCACCAATGGAATATACTTAACACTTTTCCTCCACATTTTACATCCATCTGAAATGTATTTAGCTAACTTTAGAGGTACCTTGCATGTAAAACCTTGAACCACAATTGTAAACTCTCCAGTTTCCCTTATTCATACAATATTTGATTTGGATGACATGTTTTTTACAATATTTATTTTCTGGCCCATTTTGAGACTCTTATGTTAATGCCACAAGAACTTCAGTCTCCTGTATAATATTTCAGACATGGAGAAAAAAAAAATGAAGTGAAAAAAAAAAAAAAAAAAGGAAAAACCAACCGTCTGCATCCACTTAAACTACATTACAATAAAGCTCAGTAAAGATCTGATCAGCAGGTTTTTTTAGCCTGCTCCGATTTAATATGAAAGAAATTAGTGGAAAACCTAAAGGCTGAAAGGAAATTTTTTGCCACTGTTCAAAACAGGACATGAAACCTTTAACATAATATTTACACACATTATGTTAAATACTTTCTGCAAAGTTAAAATTTAGCACTGCTGGCTTCAGACAGACTGGGAAAGACATTTGTTTACACTTGATAAATCTGATTTTGAGAAGAAAAAGTTTTATTCTTTCTGTTCTTTCTGTGTATGCGCTAGCACTGACAGAACGATTGTGATTTAAAAGTATGTAAATATGTCCATTAAAGACTTCTAAACACTTACAAGACAAGAAACAATTTGTATTACACTGGGTAGTGTTTTCTTCTTGGCCTTCACAGCTCTTATGATTTATTATCTCTGCTGGCCCACAAAGCTTTTGAGATTCTGAACGCATCACAGCATGACCCGAGTGTAGCCTTTTTCATGATCGTTGCTTATAGACTTGTTCACATAGTTTCCAACAAAATATTTTATTACTTGGGGAGCAAGGTGTTTGCCAAGAAATACTAAATGGTCAGAAGTGACATTTTCACCAGAAAGAATTGACCATTTTGACCTAGGGAAGATTCAGGGTGCAGGATATAGTTTCATTTCAAAATCAGAATGAGATTTTTTTCTGGAGAGCAATCCATGCTCATTCACCAAGATTTGGAAGACAGAAGACCAGTCTTCTGCTCAGTCTGACCCAGAACAAGGACGTGGCATTATAATCCCAGAACTCTAAACTCTGAAAGTATGAAAGGCCAGTATGATTTCAGCTTCATGAAGCATGAGGACATTTTGAAAAATTAAGAGGTCTTCTCTAAAATAAGAAAACAGCTTCCCAGTGAGCTGTAATTAAATTTGTGCCCAATCCCATAAACGCACACTGTTTATTAAGGATGTTACTAAGTTGTGCCATCGCTCCCAGGCAGAGGTGAGAAAGAAGTCTTAACTCACCATCTAGTTCTTTCATCTGAGATTTATCATCTAGCCAGCTGACTCTGACCATTAGCACATCAAAGATCTCAAAACCTCCCTCATGAAAAAGCAAAATGTTTTTAAGAGCCTGGTATTTCAAAGATCATATATTTGTAGATTTTAAGATCTTATGGAAACTTTGCAGTCACCTTCTCTGACATCTGCAGACCATAGCCCAGAGGAGACTGCCCAGCAATTCCTAAATCAGTTCCAATAAATTGTGGTTGACTCAGGGCATCTTTCTCGGAAAGACATTCATTCTGATTTAAAGACTATAAGCAATAGAGAATCCACCACATTCCTTGGCAAGCTAAGGCAAGTAAAAAAAAAAAAAAAAAAAAAAAAAAAATCACCAGCAGAAATGGGACTTTTGGCTGGACTCACATTTAACCTGTATCTTAAATATTCACAAAAGATCAAATCATTATATATTCACAAAGCTCACTTACACCTCCCCAAAATCATAAACACCTAATGATAAGTCACACAAGAAATTAAGTGAAGTATTCCTAGTTTTAAAAGATTTTTTTTTCAAGTCAGAGTTCAGTGCACAAATATCCCCACAGGGAGCAGGAGACTTTTCATCCAAGTCACATTCATTTATTCTTTTTGGAGGCTAAAATCTAAAGTTCAGAGGTAGCCTCTATTTAAAATACAAGAGCAAATCATGGCATAAAAAGTCTGCTCCTTTAGCCTTGCCACTCATGTAGGTCTTCTCCTGATGCCAGTAAGAGTGAGTTGTGAGTTACAGTGACTCCATGAGTCAGAAATTGCTTGTATGGCAGGCCTTTCAACCGAAAACAGAAGATATTTTATCTTACCATGGCCCCAGTTTTGGCCAATTGCTTTGCTATACTGACAGGCAAAGCAGAAGTCCTCAGTTAGCCCTGTGAAAAGCAGACAGCCAAAACATAAACAAAGTTTCTGTTTATTCTGAAGTCAGAAAATAATTCCAAGAGAACAATAAATGTGAGATCACATGTACTATTTACTTATCCTAAAGAACACTGTTATTCCCAAATCAGGCTAGGTACTTCTCACTTCTGGTCAATTCCTTTCACAAATGCATCTCATCAGCTTCAGCTAATACATCATTGAAGCTTGACAATAATCACTGACTTTCTTTCTAAAGATAATCCATGTTTAAAGGCTCTGTTATATAATATGTAATAAGCCAAGAATATCTTGCAACACTTGGAAAGGTAGGGTAGTAATGTTCTGCCAGATTTCTCTCAGCATTTAAACACCATTTTTTACATGCCAAAAGTTCCTTCAATTACTAATGACTTGTGAGTTTTAAGATGCGTAATTTATATCTGAGAACAATTAGGGAAGGCAGATTAGAAAAACTTGTCTGTGTTTTGGGACATATTACCACGAGAAACGTCACTGAATGAAAAAAAAAAAAAAAAAAAGGATTGAAATTCAAACATGTTTCCCTGGGGAAAAAGGTCGGTGTCAAACCAGAGCCAGTTTTCTTCTGAAGAAAATTCTGGAGGAGAAAGAAAGATGTTTCAGAGCCATCTCCCGAACGGATGGGTGAGTGAGTGCTTGCGGTCTTGAAGAAGCAAGACCGCAATTAGTCTTGAAAAGACAAATGTGAGCGCAAAGAAAGGGTTTATGGTTTGGTGGAACAGAACATCCCAGACACAGGGAAAAGACATAAAGCTGAAAATATGGAAGAAAAAATAAATGGAAGGAGATCTAAAATGTTCATTGGAGAAAGAAGGGGAGTTTAGAGTCTCAAGCAGGATATTAAATGTGGAACCAGAGCATCACTGAGCTGGAGTCAAAACATTGTCTTCCATTGTTCACAAGCTGAGCAAATATAGCCTGCTTAGACCGAGCGAGTAGAGAACAAGAGTCGAGAAAAGAGATTCATCAAGAGGAGGCCTGCCAGGTCAAAGCAGAAAAAATATCTGCTGTAGTGACAAAGGGCCTGTTTGGGGCCAGTAGTCAGGCATAGCCGGGAGTTGCTGTTGCAGCCACAGCCCAGGTTGGGCCGAGCCCAAAGACACAGCACAGAGGGCAGTGTGCATGCTGACAAGCAGGTCAGCAGCAAGGACTTGGCTGGGGGACTAGAGCAAGCACTGGCCTGGTGGGGAGTCACATTACATCATTTCTGCAAAATCTCTGGGTGCAAAGGACGAACATTCATCCATCCAGACCTTCAGGTCATCACATGGGTGGGAACTTCAGTAGAATTCCTCCTTCTATTAGAAAAGTATCCATTAATTAGTTCTTAGTTTTGCCCTCACCTCACAAACACAGCCATTTTCACTAAAGCAAAGATATGACTCCAAATTTCTAAATTCTTCCAAGTGTGCATTTAATAACACTGCTGTTCACTCATTGCCTAGACAAACTGTTTTAACACCTTCCTCTACTACATATTTAATTTACACATCCAGAACAGAACAAAACTTTTAACTACAGAGGGGGAAAGACATGCAAAGGTCAGTCCATCAAATCTGACTCTGTGGTATAATTCTTCCATAAACAATGTTCTTCCATTAAACAATGCAGAACTGATTTCCAAAAGCTCAGTGTAGCCAAACCAAACAAAACCAAACCAAACCAAAAACAAACAAACAAACTACAACACACACACACACAAAACCACACAACAGATGCAAGATGCATATGAGCTTATAACCTATAAAACGTGCCTGTCACCATTCTGATCAATTAAATAAGCTTTGCCATTCTGGACTGATTATAATGACAAGCCTGAATATGCTTCATAAACACAAATATATATAGCTTTTTGACTAGCTAATAATTTATTACCACTATCTCAGTACCTCAGAATGGGAAAATTAGGTTTATTAAGCATTAGGCATTATTAGCCACCCAATAAGCCTGGAAGAATTATTGGGACAGAGCCCAGATACCTTATTTTTCTACTACAAGATCCACAGCTACAAAGAGAAGTGTCTTTGGTACATGGGCATTTCCAAATCCATCTGAAGTCAACTCATTTATATGGCATGGCTTATCTATGAATTAAGTTGTTTTTGGTGTTTTGCTGGGAACTGAACACATATTGCAAACACTGCTCATGGTTCACTTGACCTGTATGTCTGTGCAAGTGACAGAAGGAAACAGTGGCAGGGAGAAAACAACAGGAAGAGCACCTATAAAATAAAAACACCAAGAAGGGGCAGAAATACTTGAGAAGAAACATGGCATTGTGCACATGAACTCTGACTGCTGATTCATTGCTTCAGGTCTCTGTGAAGAGACCATAAGTAAAGATGGTTGCATTCAAGAAATACCTGTAGCCAATTTCTCCTTCCAGTGAAAACAATCTTGCACACCAAGAATTCTGGCTACAGGGAAGGCAAATGCTAGTATCAGCAGAGAAATCAAGTATCCCAGGGGAGAAAGGCCGAGCTGATATCTGTAATCAAACTGGAACAAATAATGAAGGTACTCACAGAACTCAGCAAATGCCAAAAAATAATTAAAACAAGATCTATACAATTACTGGAGCTCTCTAAAAAGGAACCAAGTCAAAATTCTGTAGCTTCCCAGAAAAGACAGCAACATGACCAGGACTTTGGGGGCAGCATGAAGTGTGTCTGAGCAGACTGAAAAACCCTGTTAGAGCAAATAAAGTTTGGACTGACATGAAAAAGAATTCCTCTAACAATTCCTCTAGCACAGTATACTTTTTTTTTTTTTTTTTTTTTTTTTAACAAAATCCAATATTATAAATTTAAGAGAAAGGTGTAAAAAAAAAAAAAAAAAAAAAAAAAAGAAGCCCTGTAAAGTGAGATGTCTTCCCCTTCTCTGCTGTCATAGATCATAGATTCTGGTTCTCAGGTTTTCAGGTTTTTAGGGATTTCCAGATTGCACATTATAATGGATTAATATAATGATGACCAATAGGATATGATGGATCACAAATATTCCCATAAAAAAGGGGACGTTGTTTTCAACTGGAATTTACTAATACAATGCAACTGAAACAAGGACTCAAAGAGCTGAAAAAAAAAGGGGGGGGGGGGGGTGAGAGGGG